CTGTACTTCTGCATCTCTTCCTCCGTGGCTGCATCAGCGGGCACATCCTTGCAGTCGATGGGCTTGCCAGCTTCCTTGATCACGCCGTACTGGCAATAGGCCAGGCCGCTCTTCAAGTTCTTGAACTTCAGGTACGCCTTCCTGGTCGGGTTCTCCTCGGGCGGGAACATCTGGTTCTCGCATGTTCCCATGCTGGTGGCAACTTCCAGACTCAAGGGCGCGAGAGCAAACCAACCTTGGTTTGAACAATAAAGCTCCAACTTTGAGCGACCTTGCTATGAAAGAGAGGAACCACAAAAGTTACAAAGCAATAAAGCTGTAGTAAAGTCCTGGCAACCGAGGAAGGCAAGGAAAAAGGAGATTGTGCTTGCCCAGAAAGCCCGCATGTGAGGATTCTGTGCTACTGTGCCACCACAGCGCAACAAGGGCAACTCCGTTGCCTTGTTGTTCTCATCAACTTGGCACTTGTACTCCATGGCGGTTTCTCTGTCGCACTTTGCCAAGGAGATGGAGGCAAACTGAACTCTCAATTGCTTTGAGCCTGCATCGGCAAATCACAAATAAAGCCTGTAGCCAAGCAAACGATCCCACAACAACATCACCAGCAAGCATGAAATCGCAGGTATACCTATTGGATCCTATTGGAAAATCACAGCAAGTTCGCCGGGCGTGGCTTCTTCATGCAACAGGCTGAGGTCTCAGCTTTCCGAGGTAACCCTCTTCGACTTCATTTGCCAGACGGCACATCCTGAAAAGGCAATGGCTGCGAAGCTAAACAGAAATCAACGCCCGCTGAGGGCACGGCCTGTTCTCTCTGTCGAACTGCCGGAGCGTCTCAGCAAGCCCCAAAGTCAAGCTTGCATACGGACATGTCAAAGCGCAGTCACGCGTCTAGAGCAGAAAACAAGCCGCTGTTTTTTCCTTCCTGAAGCGGAATCCGAGTGGGTGGCAAAATGCTCCCCAAAAGCAATCGGACCTAGCCGAAGATCGGACAGAAAGCTGCCGACCCACGGTACCGGGAGAGAAGGACATTCACATGTCCCACGATTCCGTGTTCCGAGTTACGCATGTCCATCAAAACCGCGGCACGCAGGGAGCTCACCACGCCCTCGCGCCGAATAGTCTAAGCAGTCCAACCGGTCGCAACTGACAATTTCTCAATGATTCTGGTGGTATGTGCAGACTCAACGAAAGCGGCACTCGGAGGAGTTGGAGCACTTGCCATGTCCAGCACCGAAACAAAACAACACCTGACACCACCAACAACACAGAAATCCGAGTAAGTCCCGTGGGATCCGAGACTGTAGTCCTGTGGTGTCCTGTCCGGACTGTGACCCAAATTAAATGGCAACAGTGGGTCAAGATCTCGCAGTCGCTCCAAAAAAAACAACATGTACCGCCTTGACCCTGTGACGAACCAGTTGCAACGCGCACGCACACTGTCAGTCTGCTGTTCACAAAATGCAGCCCTCGAATTTACAACCTTGAATCAAGTGCCATCTAACTGAAGCGGGCTTATGGCATGTTGTGGCGCATGGGCTCGGTGAACATCATTCCTGGACTCTGACCGTTGTTGTGCAGAAGGCAACTGCATGAACTGGCTGCAACTATGTCACTCTCATTGCTTCTTCACGATCCTCATCACGCTGGATCAAGCGAAGAACGCAGAAGCCTTGGCTTCTTAAATTGGGGCAAAACTCCATGAGGAGCTCATCCTTGACTTGCAAAAGCCAGTTATGAGGCAGCGCGTGCACTAGAAGGGTTGCAAAGGAAGACAGCTCCTTTTTGAAAACGGTAGCTGAGCCAGGATGGTGGCACGTGCCCGAACTTCCGGAAATAAAGGCTAACGAGGCTCTTGGGGCTAAGCAGGCAATCACAGTTCTTCGCTGAGAGCCATGCCTTTCTCTAGCAAGCTGTTGGAGAGGACCTGCGCTCAGTTCTCTTCGCTCTCTTCAATCTTGCTTCAGTATCATTATTATTTTTTGAGTTCAGCCTTCTAAGTTTCTCATTCAAGGAGTATGTGCAGACGCAGGCGCGGAGCCGTGCCGGGCATACTGCGGAGTCTTGCATCTTGATCTGCCGACAAGGAACGGGATACTTGCTCTCGCACTCGGCTTCTTGGCTAGTTGTACATGCCTTGCAACTTTACGAGCATATCATTTTCAAGCCGACTGTGAGACTTGTCGCTAGTGTCTTGATGCTTTGTGGAAATATCGTTTTTTCGTCTGGTGAACTTCTGTGCTGTGGAGGACACCTTGTGCTGGTTTACAAATGAATGACAGGCTACAAGTACCACCTCAGCACCTCAACTGCTGCGTCCCGTCAGACCAAGGAGTCTTGCAAAGACTTGCTCTCAGGTCACTAAGAAACGGCTGCTAAGACTCCCTACTGACAGGTTAAGGCAACCAGAGCTTTCCCAGCTGTGCAAGTCCCTAGACATCAAGCAACAGGTGTTGTCCCCCTGGCGGTGGGAGTGAGTGGGATTAGGACTAGGAGTAGGAGCAGCAGCAGGAGCAGGAGCAGTAGTTTTTTGTTGCGAGTTCCCGAGTGGCGTTGCTGAGTTCGTGTCACTTTTCAGCATTGGCGGTCCTCTGTCGAAGTTTCCTTGTCGCTTTAGGAAATCATCCCTAACTCTAGCTAGTTGGGCTCGGCAAGCTTGGCTTCAGCAGGTGAAGTAGGCCTCCTTACCTGAGTTTCGTCCTGCATGAGTAGGCCAAACCGCAGGCGGCTTGGCTAGAGGCTCTTTCAGGAGCGTCGCAACTTCCACCTTTGAGCAGCATGCACACAATCTTGAAACCGCGGCCTCGCCGAGAGCATCCCGGTTCGTCCTAGGACCGATGACTATGTCAAAGCTGTCCGGCCCGCCACCCGTTGTTGGGCCCTGGCAGCAGGTATAGCTCTATGTGTGTAATGACTACAGCTTCCTGCGACCCGAATCCGGCATCGGTAGGGCTCTGCAATTCAAATTTCTATCCATCGAAGCTGAGCTCTACAAGTCTGACCTGGCAGTCGGTGACGCTGCGCACATCTTTGGGCTCCACTCGCACAGTTCGCCCTGTGCCTCGATTGTTGCATAGGCCAAGTGACTTTGGCAGCATATCTTACGATGCGCGGTCTAACTGTTTGCCGGGCAATACCTGGATGTGCATGAGGACTCATGCTACTACTGTTTACACGCGGTTGTTTATAGGCCAGTCGTTGTGTCTGTGCCTTACATTCTTGCTCTTCCCTTCTTGTCGGCAGTTGCGCGGGCGCTCCTCCTCTGAAGCACTACGGGGCCACCGTCAACAACCCATGCGAGACATAGCTGCCTCTTACTACTAAGACTGTGCATGGGCTCTACACGCACCACACAAGTCTAAGTGAAGAACTGAGAAGGGCAATCTCGAAGAGATTATCCTGCGGGAGCCAGCTAACAAGCTGGCCGCACCTCGCTGCTTGCACTGGCTCAATTTAAGGTTTGTGGCAGATACTAGTGGGGTCGTCAGGAATCTAACTGAAGCCATGAACTTGAGGTACCCATTAACAAGCCATGGACATGCAGAGTTGCGTGAGCCTCCTTTTGAGTATTTGATATTGCTGCGAGATGTTGACGGCATGTTGCCATCAAACATTCCTCAAGGAATGGGACCCTAATTGCATGCAGGCGCTCTCTGACTTTGGACACATTCCCATTCAGCAAGCCTATAGAAAACACCACAAAATGCGTCGGGCCGACGCGCAGTCAAGCTCATGCAGGAATACTTTCCACCATCCGTTATGCTCCGATGTTGATGTGTTTCAGTGTTGTTGCTACTTTTGGGCTGCGAGTACTCGCTACAATACTGCCATAATTTTGGGCTGACTTGTTCAGCACAAACACCTGAGCGGCTGTTATGGCGGTAATGCCTGCGCCAGCCTAGAACTTTGCAGCTTGTGTTGCAGTCGTGTGATCATCCTTGGGCCTGAAAGTAGATAGTGGAAAATCAAACTAGCAAATCTGGAAAAGCTGCCTTTTGTATGTCCCCTTCAGCCGTACATCTATGCAAAGTAGCTAGAGCCTTGCTTCTCTTCAGGCTGTGGCCTTTGAGTTTTGGAGCTTGGGAACCCGCTGAGGAGAATACATCATGACCACTAAAGGCCATGCAGCTTTCCAACTATGCAGGCCTGAAACAGTACCCATCTATGGATCAGCTCCACGTCTTCTGCGCGAGGTCAAACAGCTTCTTGGCTTTCCTACGCTTAGGGCTCAGGACCCGGACCTTTCATATAAGTACCACCATACAGGGGCCATCGAATTTATACACATCCCTATATAGCCCCTACATAACCCTTATATCCCCATTATTCCTGCTTAGCCGGGAAATCTCGAAAGCTGAGGGTGCAGCTTGCCTGCCAGACTAGAGTGGCTAGCCTGGGCCACAATCATTGTTTGGGGACAGCGCATACCCTGCTATGTATGTCTCGAAAGACTACTTATTCTTGTTCGGCTGGCTGTGAATCAAAACTGCGTTTTGTCGCCGTCCCCCACCCCCATCCCTGTTACATACCCCTTTGTCGCGGCCAATTGTTACATACCTTTGTCGCGAATAATTGGCGCAGGCATGCCCTACAAAAGAACCTTGTCACACAGGTGCTTGTCGCAAGCCAGGAGCTTCTGTTACAAACCTATGTCGCAGAATGGCTGCCCAAGCCTGTTACAAGCCCTGTGTTTTTGATTCACAGCCTTATGTCTTTCCACAGGGATATACGGTTTGGAGACGCTTCCGAACAAGTCACGATTGCTGCGATGGGTGAGCAACTTACAATCTTGGACATGCAAGTGGATGAAAATTCTATCCACTCTGTGTAAGGGCGATTGCTGCTGGTCATCACTGTGAGAGCCTCAAGAGCGCCAAGAGAAGCCTACGATCTAGATCGCCGCAAATCAAAACTGTGAAGCAACTTGACCCCAGATGTCCCTGTAATTCCCTGTACATGCTGCTGATGCGCCTCTATCTCCACCAGCTGTCCAATGTGCAGCCCGTCGATGACGGGAAGCCACTGCCCAAGAGCCTCAGCTGATCAATTCGTCAAGGCCCAAGACTAAGACGGTGCTTAGTAAAAAGTATGAATGAGGGCCATTACGAGGCAACTCTGTAATTGCTTCTGATGGATGTGGGCGTAATTATTTACCAAGAAATGCTGCAACGCGTGGTCATTCTGATCCAGTGTACCGCGATAAAACAACACAAATATCAGGACAGCTTACGTTATGTGTCAGAGCAGTCCATGTATGGATAACTTGTCATGGAAGGCCGCTAAGTCATCAATCCACAAGGCTTCTTTGTACGGCCCAAACACTCTCCTTACTCAGCAGGGTGAAAAAGTTTCCAACAAGTACAAATGGACAGACATCACCTCAAAT